TTTTTGAAATATGCCTGAAAAGAACATTAATTCTATATATATATAAAAGTAATAAGGGCCTTTTGAGGCAGACAAAATTTTTTAAATGAGGCTAATAAATTTTAAAATTTCTGTTGAATAGTTTATTTTTATTCGTTTAAAATTAATGTTCTTTTCAGGCATATTTCAAAAAGTTAATATAAAAATTCAAACCCAATTTACATTATTCTCTACCGAATTGCGCTCAAAGTGCTTCAATAGTCACGAAGGATGATAGCGAATGTAGCGGCTTCTGAAAACATTTAATATAACTTTAAGGGTTCAAAATCCGGATTTCTAGGAAAACTATTTAAGAATTCTTACACAAACAATGACGTACCAATGCGTAAAATTCCTTATGTCCGCCAAGCCTCGGTAGCGCAGTAGGCAGCGCGTCAGTCTCATAATCCTCAACTTTGAGAAATCTGAAGGTCGTGAGTTTGATCCTCACCCGGGGCATTTAGTTTTGATTTTTTTGGAGCCATCTTAGATTGAAAGCGTCTGTCTCGAGCGTAAATGCTTATGATCTCGAAATTTTCATTTCACTTTTGATTTGACGCAATGGATTGCCTTTACTCTTTAAAAAATTCAAAGTTGTTTACTTTTCGAGAGAGATGATGTAAAATATATATTTGTGTTTCGGTAAACATGGATTCAGAACTAGAAAAGTGACTAAAAATACTTCAAATGTTGAATCAAACTTTACATAAAGGAATACAGGCGTTGTACTTTTAGGAAAAGCAGGATGTGTTTAAAGGGAGTCTCATGTGGTCTAGTGGTTAGGATTCATGGCTCTCACCTAGGCGGCCCGGGTTCAATTCCCGGCATGGGAAGTTTGGGTTCCATGGGGTAATGGTTAGCACTCTCGACTTCGAATCCAGCGACCCGAGTTCAAATCTCGGTGGAACATTTATTGCTTTTACATTTGAAAATAATTTAGGAGTTGTCACCTCTCAGAAAGTTTTTATCCCCTTCAATAAATCGAAATCTGAAAGGTTATATA